TTGTTGTAGCTTCTATTTATGGAAAATTCAATGCAATCGTTTTGTGTATTATGTTCGAAATATGAAATATAAGAAAAAAATACTTTATTATTTCCTCTTTCAATTCAAATTGTTTTTATCTTTTTTTTTTTTTTTTTTTTTTGTTGTTGTTGTTGTTGTTCTTTCAGATTAAGAAAGCATTTCAAAATGGTAAAATAAAATTTAGGGAATGAAGAGATAAAAACAAATAAGTACTAATTCTTGTTTAGTAGGCTAATTTAAGTAATTTGCCCTTCTGTAAGAAGAAAAAAGATTCAGATTCGTGTTCAGAAAGAGATACTATCTTTCTGAGCTCGAACCGGAAGTCAAACGAACATTAAACCTAATTAAAAACTTAATGGAGGACTCTTATGTTCGACTGAATGTGATAATATCCCAACAAGCATCATATAGTATTTACATAGTGCTTCCTGAATGAAGTGTAGATTCAGGTCTGTGATTTACTGAGGCTACATTATGGGAGAATGAAGACGGCACAAGTATTTCCGCAACAAGACACCTATCACCCGTTTGATGACCTACCGCTCGTAAACTATGATCACAATCAAAGACATTAATAGCATTACTGTACTGAACCATACAAATGCAGTAGTACATAAATAAATAAATATAAAGAATTATGCGTATTTATTTAGTGATTTTTAAAGGGGAGGAAGATGAGCTAATATTTAAGTGATGTTTTTTAAATAATACATAAAAAATAGAAACTCAAAAACAGTATTTTAGTACACTATAAAGTTTTACAGAAATTTAGAATTTATTATATTTAATAGGTATGGTCTTTAAATATACATTATTGTATTCAATGTACTTAAGCCTACATGATGTCTAAATTTGATTTTTAAGCAATTCTGAATCGTATTATTTTAACTGCATATTATTTAACTTTGAGATTCAGCACTTCCCATCTGCAATTGTGAAACGAATTGTCTACCGATTGAGAATTCCTGATTAGCCATAACAAATCCCTCTTTTTCTAAAGACATACTAAACGAAAGTGGGCAGCATGCATTACATTTTTATTTAAATCAAACAGAAATATATTATTTGTCTAACTTTAAATAAATAAAAATAATTTATTTATTTGATTTTAATATATTAAATTAAAATTGAGGCTATTCGTTTAGTTTTATGGCCCATGCAAATAAAATTTAAGGCCATTTTATTTTACTTTAGACAGAAACAAGTTCTTTGTGTAAGCAAATGAAAAATATTGTTATTCTATTAAATGTTCTTGAAAAAACAAGTTTCGCCTTTTATCTAATGCAAGGATTCTGAACCAGGGAGGAATTCTCCCTTCGGGAGGGGGAATTTCATAAATTGAAGGGGAATTCGTTCGGCTTGACTCCACCTGCTTCCTGCTTCAGTCCAAGTGAAGTTGAAAAAAAAGTATGTGAAATAGTAATCTGGCACTTGCTTCCAAGATCATCCCCTCTCTTAAATGAAACTGGGTGGAAGACGCTTCTTAAGTCGAAAGCAAGTTTTTACAAATTACCGTGCTTTCATTTCATCATGTAGCGTTGGAACTTCTTATTGCGCGTCGATTCTTCCTTATCTTGTCAGAACTCGTAGTTGTGACAAACGAATTTTGTCCACTTGTACAATTATCTTGTAAATTTTATATTTGTCGATAATAGACCAAAATGAATGCCAAAAGGAAAGTATAAAGATTCATATGTTCAGTGTGGTTTCACGTCCGTTACAATCGATGGAGAAGAAAAATCCGAATGTGTTATTTGCAGCAAAGTTTTATCAAATGATTCTCTGAAACCAACCAAGCTAAAGCAACATTGGCAGAATGGTCATCCTCAATATAAGAACAAGGACAAAAGTCTTTTTAAGCGGTATGGAATTTTTTGGAGAAATCAGATTCGATAGGGGTATTCGAAGAAAAAAGCCACAAGGTTACTGAACAAATCAGAAAAAAAAACTCATCGACTGGAGAAAATTTGATCAAAGCTTGAGTTCTCAAAATGTCGGAAATTATTTTTTGTAAAGAAATGGAGAATTCCAGCTGTTTTACTATTAAGCAGCACTATTCAAAGAAGAATCAGTGATATGGCAATTGATATCAAAATAGTGCTGGAGATTAAGTCTTCAGCATGTAACTTTTCAACTCGATGAATCGACTGATGTGTCATCGTGCTCTCAATTGCTGTTATTATTAAGATATATTCACTTCAGTTCATTTTTGTCTTTTATTCTGCTCTAGAAACAGCCACCACAGCCTCTGATATTTTTAAAAACGCTTCAACTTTATTTTCAGTTAGAAAATCTCTGACGGGATAATGTATTTGGATGCTACCCAGATGGAGCACTAGCTACGTTGATTCAAGGGAAAATTGAAAAACATGTCTTCAGAAATGAAAGGCATTAGATGTATGATCAATTCTCAAGCACAGGCTTCAAAATCTCTTCCAGCTTCAGATTTGGGATCAAATAACTCAAAATATGAATTTTTTTACTTTTCTAACAATTATGCATTTGCTTGGATGCAGACCACCATTTCCTTCTTTTTTCATACAAATGTTCGATAATTTTCAAGAAGAAATGTAACTGATCTTATAAATGATTTTTTCTTGTTATTATTAAAGGCAAAATGAAATTTTTTGCCTGGATGGATGACGAAGAATAGATCTTCCGCCTTTCTTATTTGGCGATATTTTAAGCAGCTGGATAAAGTAAATCGTATGCAAGGAAAAAATATCATAAAATTCATTGATTTTTTGAAAGCTCTTCTGCGTAAACTAGAAAATTGGAAGAGAAATCTTAGCGTGAAAAGTATTACAGTGAATACTGATTTGAGAATTGCCATCAGTTTTTATTGCTTGTGGTATTGATCAAGTACTCGATGATAGGGAAAAAAATAATTTTGAAGCATTTGACAGACCTACGGAACGAATGTAGGTGGTATTTTTCTGAATTTTCTGATGAGGAGTCGGGCTTAGTGAGAAATCCTTTCAAATTATTGGTTTAAAATGATGATTTTCAAGATGAATTTCTCGAAATGAAGGCTGATTGTCAAACAAAAGATATATTTGAAGAAAAACCAGTCACAGAGAATTGGTCCTTGATGTGCAAGTCATACCAAAGATTGGCAGAGATCCGTGGATTGCTTCCATTTGTGTAGGCACATCTTTTTTAGTTTAGTTTTTAAATTTTGTTGAAAATAAAACAGATTGAAGAATTTTCGCAAAGAAATAGATTGAAGGTTGAAAGAGACCTGTGTTTTGCCTTTACAAACACTCCGCGTGTGCAAGAAATGGCGAGGAGAAAACAGTCCTAGGTTTCTTAGTGAATAAAAACTGAATTACATCACTCAGGAATGCTTAAAACTTTTTATTAATTAAAATGTATTTTATATTATTTAACTATTTAGTATTTAGTTTTAGTTTATGAATATAAAAACTAATTTTATTCAAGTTTTAATCAACGTTTCCTATAATTTATCTTCTTTAATATATGAAAAAAGTTTAAAAAATAATTTAAATCTAAATAAATGCATATGCATTTATCGAGTTTAGGAAGGGGGTGAATAATCTTCTAGCAGTGCTGAAAGGTGTGCATGGGGCAAAAGATGTAGAAAACCACCGGTCTAACGGAAGTTAAACTATTTTATTATTTTCTTCTGAGTAATATTTATTGAAATAAAATAGATTAAAGCAATAAAATTCCCTCCCTTGCGTTATAGCAAATACGTAGTTGTTCTGTTTAAAAAAGAAAACCCTGTTATTCCGATAACTTGTGATCCAGTTATTAGGATTTTCCAGTTATTTGAAGGATCATTTCAGATAACTACTGTATAAATATGCGATCAATATCCAAAGAAATAAAGCCTGTAGGCAGTTTCTTTTACACATCTTGCATAAGAATGGCCAAAGCAGCACAGTGAATATGTTTTGTCCTACAAAATAAAGTTCTGAATGTGCAATCATGCAATTAAATTAAAGTCTGAAAGAAACCTGACTTTACGCACATTCATACGCTTGAACGTGCACAGAATAATAATTTAATTGAATTTGGAGCTAACATAAGGATTTAACGGCTTTCATGGCATTAAATGAATGAGTTCCATTTTTGAATCAAAGATTACACTGAGTATCAAAGATTGAGAATCGTAATATTAAATAAATTAATTAACTCTTCGTGTCATTAATTTCTCCCTGCTTTCATCTGGCTTGAAGACCATACAGTTGTTAGAATTCTAGGAGAGAATTTTTGATAAATGGCTGTTGCATTTGTGTAAGATATCCTAGTTGCGTTATAAATTAGCTGATTTAATAATTAAGAAATTAATCGATATCGAATTTTTACTCCTACTGTATATTTAGATACATAACTATATCATAACTCAGCTAACTTTAAGTTTTAGAGTAATCATTAAAATGTATTGTAATTTTTATGCTAATTGCATGACTTATTTGTCTATTGTTGTTGTTCATTCCGGATCTTGGACCGACCACATAAGAGTCGACCATAGTTCTGTAAAAATTACGAAATCTTAATTTTTATGTGTTCTTCCAATTCCTATCATTTTCTAAATCGATTTTTGGTATTTTATATTATGCTAGAAAAAAGACATATATCTATACGAAATCGTCTTCATATGGTGGAAAGATAGTGTCATTTGCAGCTTGCCAAAACTACGAAACTGTATTTTTTGCTGTTTTCACTTGCATGCATTTTTGAATTCTTTTTGATTTTATAATGAAATAGAAAGCATATTCTCTGATATGCATATCTGATAATTACTAGGTACAAGTCATAATTAAATTTTCTCAAAACCGAGCGCATAGGGAATTTTTAAACATATTTTTTTTTTGGGGGGGATAGCTATTTTGCAGTTTGGTTGTTTTGGCATGGTACCGATGATGTATGACGTGTTAGCAAATAAAGCTGTTTGTTTCTATACAACAGTGTTGTATGTAATATTGTTTAGTATAATTATAAATTCTTTGCTTGCAGTGTCTGAAGGAACTGCCACTACTCGTGTGGAAATTAATGAAGATATAACCAACCCTTGTTTATTCTACGAGGTCTTCGCAGAAGCAGGAAAAGCAATAGATTTTCACTTATTGGTAAGCATTTAATCTTCAAATTTGGACTTTACTATAAAATCTTTTGAATCTAAAACATTTCAGAAAAGTTAGATCTGATATTTTTGGATCTCATATTTTAAAATTGGGAAATAACATTAATTGCTTTTCGACTGGTCAGCTGATGCTGAACATACTTGGCAACTTCAGTAGTATATAACAATAAAATAAAATACCATACACAAAACCGATTGAACCCAGATATATTTATTACATACAAAGGACGCGCTTTTTATTGTTCTCAAAACGTAGAGATCTTTTCGTTTAAAATCATCTCCGAACGAAAGTTAAATTTTGGTAAATGCAGAGGAATATATCCTCTATAAATATTCGGATATACTGAGACTAGAGGGCATTCGGGTTATCGAGAGTTCCCTTTCCGTAAGCTAAAATGCAATTTATACTTATCTCGGAGGAACTAAAAGATTAAATTATTATGCTTGATATTACTTATATTCGTAAGCTTCGTACCCATTTCTTTTACAATCAATATAAAACAATGAAAATAATTTTCAGATGCTTTCTTTTCAATGCTACATAGTTAATATAGGGCAAAAACACTCATCTTAACATTTATATTGAAACAGAAGGGAATAACATTTTATACTCAAAAACAAAATATTACGAGAGGGGAAAACACTTGTTGTATAACTAAAAGCTAGTAAAAATAACGAACTACATTTATATTGTAAGATTTTAAAAAAATCTTTGCGAAGACAAACGTTCTTCTACTAATCTTTATAGGCTACATATTTTCTGGACGTACGAACGCCCTCACCTGTCTGTTGCAAAAAATGTATATGTTACGGTGAAACACCAAAATCTGGAGAATGTCGAATTTCACCGCTGAATGTCAACATTCACATAGTCGCTTGGTGTATGTCCGAAATATTTTCCAAATACTTCTGACACCTGACTTACACTTGACTGTAAGACACCTGACTTACACCGGTGAATGTTGAACATATAAGAATATTATATTTCATTCTTCGTAATTCATTCGCGAAAAAACGCACTTGAGACTCAGAATAAGAACTTAAAGCACACAGTACATTCAAAATGAGATTATGACACTTTGAACTGCACAAGAGGCCCTTGCTTTTACAACTGCTTTTATTTGTGGAACACTTCCTTTTGGAATGGCAGCGTGTACATATACTCCTCTCTTTTCGACCTAAACCAGAGCATATCTGTGATTGTCGACATACACCGGTGAGGGTCCGAATGTACAAGAATGTAAAGAAATATTCGATCTTTCACCGACGTATTTGGTGAATGCTAACATTCTCCGGTGAAAGTCGACATTCTCCAATTTCGGTCTTTCACGGTAACATATACACTCAGAAAACATTGAGCCACAAGTATGAAACGCGGCGTGCAAATGTGGTCGGACGAGTTGTATAAATGATTAAACTTGCAAGCATCAGTCAGCATTGTGGAGCGATACAACATGCGTCTGAAGCGCGTAACTGGTAGAATGTAAAATGGTAGGCATTTAGAGCCTCACTGTTGGCTTGGATATACGGCATTGTAACGAAAGATGCCTTTAAGACGTACTCGATAGCGTTACGAACAGCTGTCAGACTTTGACAGGGATCGCATTATAGGGCTCAAAGAGGCGGCCGGTTAGTCGAACAAGCGGATCGGCGGAATATTTGTCGAAGCGATACGGTCATCTTCCGTTGCTGGAACCAGTGGCTCAGCGAAAGCATAGTCTGCCGCCGTAGTGGCTCGGGATGTCTCCGTGCCACCAATGCTCGAGATGATCGCTCAATTAGAAAAGCTGCCAAGTCCGCACCAAAAGTTACGTTATCATCGATTCAAATTTGCCACCTCACAGGGATCCCGAGAGATCAAGAATACAATTCGTAGAAGACTAAATGATGCGGAGCTCAGATCTCGACGTCCATTAAGACGCTTGCCATTCATATTCTACCATAAGCAGTGTCATCTTGCATAGTGCCGCTGTCGCTCAAGATAGACAGTGTCCGATTGGAAAAATGTAATTTTAATCCGCGAATCACGCTTTTCTCTTAATCCTGATGACCGCCGCATATGTGTCTGGAGACGGAGAGGTGAGCGTTCCACTGTACCATTTGTTACCAAGTGACACACAGCGAGAACACAGGGTGTGACAGTCTGGGTAGTGATCGGCTGAGACAGCCGTTCACCATTAGTCGTGTTGCGAAGTACTCTGACTGCTCGCAGGTATGTTGACGGCATTTTCCAGCTGATCGTATTGCCTATGCCAACAGATCTTCCAGGTTCTGTTTTCCTGCAGGCCAACGCTTGACTACATACAGAACGACTTTCTCTAATATCCTCGACTGGCCTGCCAGGTCTCCAAACCTGTCGCCTTCTTGAACATGTTGGCCAGGCATGTTTAACCATGTGTAAATGCGTCCCAACTCGCTGACCAGTTGCACTGTTTCTGGCACAAACTACCGCTGAGAGACATTGGCAACTTTATAGACTCCATGTCCAACCGAGTATCGGCTTGTATATTTGCCAGAATGGCTTTACCACCTACTGATTTTCACATTCTTTCTATAGCTACTCGTAAATAAAACGCTTTTTTCGCCCCAATTTTTGATCATTTGTTTATCTATTCGAACACCATACTACTCCCTTGTTTCCTAGTTGTGGCTCGGTTCTTTATAAGTGAATAGGTTTTTTTTTTCCTTTCTTTTTTTTCTTCAGCAGATTGAGAATCGTAATCTTCAGCAGATTGAGAATGTATTTTTAACATTCTTATAAAAATATATTATATTAATATTTTTATATTATTAAATAAATATTTTTTATATTATGCCGACAAATATTATCGTCTTTTACATTTAAAGATAATATACTTGAAACAAGAAATAATGGAAAATATGATGAACTAATTAGATACACATAGATAAATTAAAAATAGCATTAGTTTTACCTGACATACAAAAAAGAAAAGCTATCTCGATTATTGGAATTTCGGACGATTAGAATTTGGTGCCGCCCAACGGGATAGAGGTTAGTGACTTTAACTACCGTATCGAAGGGCCTTGCTTTGAAACCTGAAAAAAGCATGTCTGTTATAAATTTATAGTGTCTTTGCGGCATGGGGGCAGTCTAAATATATGGCGGGCCGAATGTCCTCTCGTATGGTATAAAAGGGGAGGGAAACTCTTGAACCCGTCCATCGGGGTGCTATCTCTTAAAATTGGGGCGGAACTGAGCAAAGTACTACCCTCACCTGGTATGGTGCTCAAGTCTGCTGCCAACGACAAACGTAATCTTGTACTCCTTGCCACAATAAAACTCGTGGGCTTGGTATGATCATATCAGGAAGTGAAATACCCCCCAACAACAGTAACAACAACAGCAGATTTTGATTAGTTGGCGTTCTAATGCATTTGCGATCAATTCTTGCTGTAGGTATGGTATCAGTTATTAAAAACAGCTTTATACGAATTTAATTTTTGTAAACTATTTTATCGGTTTTAAAAACGAAAATTTTGGCGTTGAAACGGAGAGACCTCTTGTTTCGCATATTGAAACTTGTTGAAAGTTTTTTAATTAATGTTTCATAAAGGTATTTTCTTTCTCCTTTCCGCATGCCTTCGTGTGTAATTGGAAGCATACTCGACGCGTATTCGAGAGGTCCAGACCTCGAGTCCCGGCGAGAACTCTGCACATTATTCTTGTCTCCTGCTTCCAAATAATAATAATAATGACTCTACATTCTATTGATTTCAGTGATAGAGTTTTAAAATTTTTTAATAAGTCGATTTTAAACAGTAAAAAAGCTAAACATAAATTAATATTTTTTTATTTATCGGTGTTTTATTTCATACTTGTTTCTTTTCATCAAATCCTGAAACTGTTTGATCTTACGTCATCTTAGAGTGGAAATTATCACATTTACATTTACTAAGGATATTTTCCTTAATGTTTCATGTATATTAAGGCTTTTATAAAAATTAGTCTGTTTTACTTATTTTGTAAGTTAGAAATATTCTTACAAAACTTACAGGTTCGTCTATTTCTTCGAACGATTGTCTGCTTAGAATGATCGTAATAAAATTCTGCGTAGCGTACGACATCTCTCAGATAGATTTCGCCAAACGTTATTTTTTAGATTATATTTAAAAGCAGAAGCAGGAAGATCTTTTCAAATTCACTTTTAAAATAAAATGAGTAGCATAATATTTTTTTTTTGTTTGTTTGTTTGTTTTGCTTTTTACTATGATAAGCTAGTACTTCTTTCTCTAGCAACTTGAAATTCTCATTTCTTGAGAGAAGTTTAGTAAAATTCTAGAACTTTAAGACAAACGAGACTATTTTTTCTATTTTCTCTTATTTATTTATTACTTATGGCACAAGGTTTAGCGCTTTATTTATTTTTCTCAAACAGAAGTAGTAAATGTAAGAAATTAACACTTACGTAGTTGAGTTTTTTCTCGTATATCTTTGAAACCTACTTATCGAAAATTTTTATTTTAATTTATTTATTCTTAGCATTTAAATAAGCTAAGAATAAATAAATTAAAATAAAAATTTTCGATAAGTAGCAGTGTAAGTCATAGTCTCCAAACAGCTGTAGTTGAAGGTATTGCCAAAGAGCAAGAAATTACACATAGCACCCACGCATATAAATTTTTATAGCGAAGATTTTTAAACCTTGATGTCTCAAATTTTCTCAAATATCAATTTTATCGCGCTTATACAGTTTTTCCAGTTTTACCAGGCAAATTTCTTATTGTCTATGTAGTACCATGTTACAACATTTCGTGGAGCTACAGCTCCTGGTAACTTTTTAGCAAGGTCGCTGCAATGTTCCTACCTACTACTATTCTTTCAAATCTTTTTGCAGCATTATGCGCAAAAGTTTTTGAGACCAGATAGGTCTTTCGTCTAATTACCAGTTCGCTTTACATTTTCTTTTTCAATTATATATATATATATATATATATATAATTGAAAAAGTATGTAAATCAACTTTA